GTGCTCGATAGATACTTTTTCGTCTCAAACCTACAATAGCGAACAGTTCGTCTGTATATTTTTTGACCAAATGGAAATGAGAAAACTTTGGATTGACTTTTGGTTGTTATCTTAGAAAGTCACAAATGTGAGCTGTTCTACATACTCTGGTGTTATGCAACACAAAATATTCTTCACACTGCCGAGACTTTTGCTACAGTTCAGGTATTTTTTATAATGTAAATTCCACGATTAATCAAAATAACTGCTTTGTTGATTGTTGTTGCTGGCGCGATTTATGACAAGATGGTTAGGTTGCAATTGGGGAAAAGATTGGATCATCTTTGAGAATTTTAGTATCTTATATGTCTCGAAATTTTGGAAACTCTTTATCTGAACCTAACAATATGATTATTTAAGAAACCACAAGCAGTCGTTTATAGTCTTATATATGCTAGTATTTTAGATCTATTGGAATACAAGCTCCTTCAAAAATCTTTGCATAGCTGATTTAAAACTGCCTTTTTTAGTAAAGCGCTTTTTTTCCTCTTTTGAGTGCTTATCGCACACGTTTGTCCTGTGACCTGATGCATAGACACTGAATAAGAAAAACTACTTACTGCCTTTCCAACTCAAATATCTGTCTTCCACTAAACGTCGTTCTGGCCTTTTTCTTTTTGATCGGCCTGTTGTTGTTTTCTGATGGGGCTGCGTTTTCTACTGAAATCATTTCTACTACCTTCGTCTTTACGCTCCTCCCTATTAAGCGCACTCACCACTCCTCCCAAAATCGTCAAGTTTTGGAGTGTCGTCGTTGACTCCGAGAATGTCTTTGATAAAATGTGACGCCTTCTTTGGCGGTAGTGGAGTGTACGGGTAGAATGGCAGGTATGGCAGAATGCCAGAGGTGAAGAAACCAAACGGATAGGTCATTTGTAAGCCGTCGACTTCAGCAATTTGGGTTATACTGTAGCCACCATAGAGTCGACCACGCCCATCGCAGTGGCTCAATTGCAAATGAAATCAAGAAATCTTCGTCTTGGGAGAACTCGGCCGAGAATTGAAGCACCTCAATCAGTGAAGATTACCCAGCAAATGCTTTGCTTCAGCAAATCAAACCCAGCTTGCGCTAACTTGCTATTTGATGAACAGATGAAGATTGGAGAAACTG